CCCATGAGTGATAGCTGAATATTTTTCCAATTTTATAAATCTTTCTTAATTTGTATCACTAATTTATTATAATTATCGTTTTTAATTGTGGAACATTTTGCCGACACCCAGATACCTGCTCTTACTACTTTTTGGCAAAAATCTGAACTGCAAAAACAGTCTCCTTCCCAGAGCCTCTTTCTTTCTAGCTCATCCTCTCTGCCAACTTCGCGTTGTCCTCCTCTTCTTTGGGTTGTCAATAATAGTAACAGATGTCTTGATTTCAACTGCTTTTTCTCTCTGCTTCCTTCTTATGGGGTCACCATCACTCCGGTCCTGACCAAGTGGAAGGATAGATCCTCGTCCATTTAGTGGGTTTCTCCTACCCGCTGGGGATTTGCCTTATCACACCAATGTCTTCAGAGTTTTCCCCTTAATCTGCTGGTCCCTTCAGGATCCACAGCGCTCAGAAATGAGTCCAAACGAAGAAGTTAGAGTTAGAGGTTAGGAGATCTCCCGTTCCTTAGCTCCAAACACGATGACATCACCACAGGAACTCATGAAAACTCTTTAATTCCACAGTTTATGGACAAATTTAACCATAGTTTTAACTGGGAAACTGTGACCATTCTTGACCAAGCCAAATCAAAATATAGAGATTTCCTGGAAGCCTGGCAACTCATTCATTTGGGTATTTCAATTTATTGAGCATTGGGACTCTTAGTTTATGTTTTTAGTTGTGTGAAGTCATTCTGATTGTCCAACCATATCTGTTGTTCTTTTGTTGCTATTGCTAAATTGGATAATTGTATTTTTTTTTGTTTTTCATATAGTTCTTTTCCTGTTTTTCTATTTTTCATTTTTTTGTAAAATTTTGGTAAATGTTAAAAAATAAAAATTTAATTGTAAACATAAAATTTTAAAAATGAGGGGGAAAATGAGATGCACTGGTGGTTCAGGCAGGTGGGAGGCATGATTTTGTTGTAAATCTGTATTTTAACTGGGAAGGCAGATTTTAAATGTGTTATTTAAATTTATATTTTTCTGTATGAGCAACTGAGAATTTCATTCAGAAAGAAACATTAAACAAATAATGATGAAATAACTTAAAGTTATTTGAAATAGATCCTATTAAAATCAAGAGAACCATTTTTTTAATATAAATGCTACCAATTTTATAGAATCAAATGTAATCATCATACTCTGGTTCCAGTCCATAGTATTTCCCGTGATTTTTTTTTTCATTTTTCTTTCAGGCTAATATTTGGCACTCTTTATCCTGCCTATTACTCTTACAAAGCGGTAAAATCAAAGGATATTAAAGAATATGTAAGTAGTCTTTCTGGGAGTATCCTGTATCCTTTTTAACAATTGTTATTTCACTCTTTAGAAGGGAGAACATACTTCAGATGTGATTTTTTTTCTGTGTACTTAGTATGCCAAATCATTACTATGTCCCGCCCCCTCCATTCTAATTGGTAATTTCATTTTAACTAACTTTTAGATGATTTAACCTTATCTTCCATTTTAGCTGCAACATTAGGAGAAACAAGACTGGTTGATACTTCCTTTTTCTAAAATAAACATTCAGGCTAATTAAAATTATATATTATTTACTGATTAATTTAAGGACACAGTGCTGGGCCATGAAGCATACACAGCACATAGAACTATACCTGGAACACAGCATGGGCACCCATTTTGTATGAAATTGTATAGATCTCCATCCATAATTGTAGTGATTACTATATTGTAATAATATCTCAGGTTTGTTTTCATAATGAAGACAGAGAAACAGCCTAAAGTAACTTGGGATTTACCAATCCTGATAACACCTATAGGTTTTTTTTAATGAAATAAGATAGCTTGTAATGAAAATTTTAATTTTAAATAGTGAGAACTGCTAGAAAGTAAATTCAGAATAACTTTTACAACTGCGTTTATGCTGAATCAGAATTACTTCTACTACATTTGTTTCCTGAATAGAAAATTTCCAAGTCATTTTTATCTTCCACACAAATGTTGGTTGAAAACTTAATAAATAAATAAATTTGGTTCTGCTTTTACTATTGAGTACGAATTTGGCCTTAGTACTAAGACTGAAGGAATAGCACCTGTATAATTTATACATATGAGATAAAAAATTAATTATTCTTCCTTTTCAGGTGAAATGGATGATGTACTGGATCATATTTGCACTCTTCACAACAGCAGAGACGTTCACAGACATTTTTCTTTGCTGGTTGGTATCCTTTGAAATGTGTTCTTCAGAAAAAAAGTAGAATAGAGCATGGAAACACACAGGCATACACTATATATAGTATTAGGCACCCAATGATATTAGGTGGGTGGAATACCTGTCCTGGAAACCTGACAGTTTCTTTCAGTAATGCCAAATGTGAATGTCAGTGTTATTGATTGATACTCTCTGGAATCCCACTTTGAATATTGTAAACATAACAATCATTAGCATCCTTGAGAAACTTGTGGTTTATATAGAACTACCACCAGTTTGTGAATCAAAGTTCATTTATTGAGAAAAATTACAAGTTTTGGGAGATGTATGTTATGAAGATGCAGTTCTGGCATGTAGATGGGGAAGATATCAATAAAACCATTTGGGGTTGGACAACAATGATATTTGTGTTACAAAAGGCAAGCAAAGAAAGAAGAAACATCTTCTCAAGGATGAAAGCATATGCAATAGTAAAAAGCATATGAGATAGTAAAAATCATTCCACAATTTAAAGGGACAGGTAGATGAAAGAGGCTGAGAAGGACCCAAAGGAAGAAGAAGGTAGATGTGGGCTCATTGTTCAAATTAAGCATGTTTGGGTTTGCAAAATGGCTGAATCCTGAATTTTCCTGCTGATAAACAGAACATAGATATATATATATATCTTTGAATGCCAATATACTAAAACATAACTAGAGCACAGAGAATGTTTCTAAATTTCCAGGAATTTAGAAATGGCTGCTCATTTCCTATATTAAAATTGGGCCAGGGAAAGTCCTAAATAGATGCATAAAAGAAAATACAGAAAGAATATGAAGACAAGAATGAGGTTATAGGAAGAAAGATAAGAACAGGAATCTTAGAGAAAAAAACAAAATAAATTTTCAGGCATGAATATCTTGCATGACATTTTTTAATCTGTGTATTTAAGCCACTGAGAGTTACCCTGAGGTAAGATGGGTAGCCAATAAATTTTATAAACAAACAAACAAACTTTATGAGAACTACAACAGTACATTTACCGGTGGAATTGTGAGAAAGGTGTATCATCTAGCTGCCTATCAAATAAACCAAACCTATAATTTCTTGCTCATTTGTTATCAGTACTTGGGTCCCATTTGAGGGCCAAGGATTCCGCTCATTGTAATCTTACTCAATTGCCTTTGCTTAACTGAACATCGGGATATATGAGATACTTTGTTTGCTTTTGCTCTCCTAGAACCTAGAAGAAATGTGGAACTGAATATTGGTACCGTGAAATAGGCTGTATGCATTAGTCTGGACTGAATAAATGTGCAAGTTGTCAAGGGATATGGGATGGAAACAACCATTGGTAGGAAATTGTACTTAGGAATGAATGAACAGTGAAACTTCACGTGGCATTCTCAAATAAAAGAGAGGATAGATACCTGTTATGGTCTTCTTCATTGTATTGGTGGAGGGATTGAACATGGACTCCTGACTTTATTATTCATGAAAATGCACTTAAAGACATTAGCAAAAGCCAAAATGCAAAGGAAAATATTTTTGGATGCCAACATCAATGCACACATTCAAACATTTATACATTTACTTTCTTAGTACTTACTTTCTCAAGGAACCTGATTTGAAAAGAACACCAAAAGATATTATTTTCTTTTTCTGTAGGTTCCCATTTTATTATGAACTCAAAATAGCCTTTGTAGCTTGGTTATTGTCTCCCTACACAAAGGGCTCCAGTCTTCTATATAGGAAATTTGTACACCCAACTTTATCTTCAAAAGAAAAGGTCAGTGGCATTATTTCTCATAAAGTAAGATAAGCTTATGAATAAGAATATCCTTAGGCTGTGATGCCATTAACCATTAGTGAGCCTCATCAAACTGGGTGACAACTATTGAATCAGTTGTGGGATAGCACTACTGATTGCATAATATTATTTACACTTTTTGCATTCCTTTCAGGAAGAAGAGTTTCATTTCAGTAGGTGTTGCTCTTTTTTCTTGATTGATTTGTTTTTACAGATAAGAACTTAAAAAATGCAGCTCCCCACTGGGATGATTCTCAGTGTAATAAATGATTTAAGCTATTGGCTGTATATATATATATTTTACAAGTGTTTTGAAAGCAATTGGAGCAGCCAGTCAGAAATCTTGAAGAACAGCTCACATGAGAAATAAATTTTAATGCAAATTTTTCCAACCTGGTATTTTTCAATTATATTACATTGGACTACAGCTTTTTTAATTCCTATTCAGAATTATGGGAGTTACAATCCAATACACTATGACACCAAAATAGAAAAGATTACCAAGAGCTCATGCACCCCTTCATTATCCTTCATTTCTTTTAATTCAACAAATTGCACATTGACAGACCAATGATAGTCTTTCCCCATTTGTCACCAGCAAATAGAGGTTGCAAAAGTTAGCAAGTTGATGGTAAATAAATTGCTGATTTTGTTTTGGCTTAGGGAATTGTGTGAATTCAGCTAATTAGATTTAGTTACCAAACAAGTGGTGGCTTGCCATGATTTATATAACCCTTTTGGAAAGTAATTTACCTGACAGCACTTTTGTATAGTGCTTGTCTCTTGGATATAATTTGTGGATTATTCTTTCTCAGAATAAGTGTTAAGCAACCTCCTGAGTATTTGTATTAGAGTCAAGTGTTCCCTAAGCATTTAAAATAATTTTGGTTTTTTTTATTCATATTATCACTCTAATTAGGACCTACATTGTAAGTTTATATCCCTATTTTTCTATTAAAAAGATCACGTGAATAGGGAGAGCTGAATACATTCATTTTATTTCTTCAAGTAGATTGATATATTAAGTTCAAAGCCTTTATTGTCATTGTACATCATGTTTACAACGAAATTGGTTTAGCCTTTAAGCAGTAAAATATGAACACCAAGCTACAGTGGTTTGGTTCGTGTAAACATATCAAGCCCAAACCTAACAAATTATGACTTAAAGGTCATCCTGAAAGTGAAGTGGAAGAAACTTCAGTTTCCCAAATTTGCATATTTCTTTTATTATAACATAATCACAACTCCTCTCATACAATTGTTATATCAATGAGGAAGGTGGATGATTAGGTAAATCATACCCTGTTTAAACTGTTTTGATCTATATTCAGGGCAGGCATGGAAACATCTTCCTTTTGATAAGTAAGAAAAACAAATTTATCTGAACTCTTTTGAGTTTGATTGTGGATTTTTTTCTTTTTGACAGGAAATAGATGATTGCTTAGTCCAAGCAAAAGATCGCAGCTATGATGCCCTGGTGCATTTTGGGAAACGGGGGCTAAATGTTGCAGCCACAGCTGCTGTAATGGCAGCTTCCAAGGTAACCAGTAGGACAATTCAGGATATGAGAATTACTTTAATATTACAATTTTCTTTGGCTGTGAGAATGTTCAAACGATGGCTTATGGGCAATGCTTAGTATCAGAAGCTTTAAAGCCATTTGCCATTAATAGTGAAAGGCCATAAATGTCTCAGTACACAGAGACACAAGGTCCTAAGAATTAGATTCTTTGCAAGGTGATTGACAAAAAATGTAGTGTTATACTTAGGAAAACTTATAGCTAGTTCCATAAATAACAAAATGCACCCACAAATATAATGGCTTGAGGTATAAACCTAAGATATTTTGGAATCATTTCATCTTCTTTTTCAGGGATTTCTATTTCAAAAAAAGTATAATCTTCACTTTAACCTATTTCTTTTTTATTGAATTAAAGTAAGGAAACTCTAAATTGATTTTATACAAACTCCCAAATAATATGAAAAACTGAACAGAACATTTTATACTAAAAATGTGGTTGTTTAAAGAGGTAGGTACATTTACAATCTCTGTATGATAATGGAGAATGAATTGATACAAATAGTCTTACAAGAACAATTGTGCCTGCAATTTGGGTCATAAGACATTGCAATTGTTAAACTAGAAGCCCATGTGACCATCTCATGCAACGACTATTTCCCTTTCGGATGTGAGCAGCCCTCAGTCCCCCCAGGGAAAAGGGCGGCATACAAATAAACTCCTGAATCCTGAACTGCAATCCCAGCTTCCCCTATTGCAATTGTTTAATGACTGCACAGAGTGCCTTGAGGTGAGAAAGGCTCTGGAAGGCCAGTACCCTCCATGCGCATGCAGAAACCTGCTGCAGACCAGAAGGCCTCAGCCAGCTAGATCCACCAGTATGTGGGAATCTGCCACAGTCAGGTCTTGCCCAACTATGCCTTCAAGTACATGGAAGTTTACTATGGATTAGGAGCCTTGGTTAGCAGTCTCACCAACACGTGGGCCATCCACCCATCCTACCTTTCCCCACCTTTCCTAGAAGTTTTGGGCCTTTTCTCCATTACATCCCTTTTTTGAAAGACTTGGGACTTCTCAACATCCAGGTGTGTAGGTCAACTTCCCTTCCCTTTTCAAGTAGCTGCTGACAAGCATCTCCAGCCAATGAGATGCACATTTACTGCAGAAAGCAAGCCAACACCAGTCTTTGCAATATTCTGAACCTCTATCTCTGAAAACATTGCATTGGCTAGCTTTCTGCAGTCACTGTACCTTATATTGGCAGGTTGCACTTGTAAGAAAACGTACAGAAAATGAAAAAAATGTACAGAATATGAAGATAAGTGCAGTCGAGCAGCTGGACAGAAAAAAGATTTAAGCCTTGGGGAGTGGTGGGACAGTGGAAAGACTGATGTGCTGGTGGGCTTAGCAGGTCAAGGCCTCCCAGCTCCTCCCAGCTCATGGGGGGAAATTGCAGTGCTCCTGTGTTCATGAGGCCATGCACACTGCCAAGCACCCCAAATTTTGTCACATGAAGCAGAGGACTGCGACAGTTGGAACTTCAGGAGGGAGTTGTATGTCCCTTGGTTTAGTACTGTTGTAATTTTGAAGAGTTCCAGTTTGTTTAGTGGTGGGTTTCAAAAAATTTTAGAACCTGTTCTGTAGGTGTGCCCTGTTTTGTGGGAGTGGCTTGGTGGGCATGTGACCGAGTGGGAGTGGCCTGGCAGTCATGTGACTGAGTGGGAATGGTTTGGAAGTTATGTGACTGGGTGTGAGTAGCTTGGAAGTCATGTGACTGGGTGGGAGTGGCCAAGTCGATGTAACTGAATTCTTTGCCCGAAAGAATGACCTACAAAAAGAAGATATAAAAAAGGAAAATTATTATTTTGTGCACTTACTACTTAAATAAGAATAAAATAAGTACACAAAACAATAAAACAGCTACTTACAAAAAGTAAGTCGCTTACTACTTACTACTTGTATTTCAAAGGGAATGAATACATATTTAATTTTACACATGTTAACAGCTGTTGGAATTGTGTTT